ATGCACTTCAGCAAACTTAACATCGGGCCCAGTCTATTAAGTAGATATAGCATAACAAGGAAGTAAGTTTTACTACCCTCCATAGCATCTCACATTATTAAGATCTCAGCATATAACATGACAGCAATAGGTATTAGATTTGGGATATCATTTAAAAAAGAAGAATCTCCAGGGGTTGGGGCTGGGGCTCARTTATGGAATTTGTGTTTAGCGTGTGCAAAGCCATGGGTTTAATCCCCACCACTCTCCACTGTCCAAAAAAAAAATGTTTATAGATTCTTAAACTATTATAGTAAAATCTAAATAGTGAAACTATTGCTGATACTTTGATACATAGAATTGGGGAAGGCAGGAGTATCTATAACAAAAGTATATCTATACTGAAACATTCTTACTTAAAATAAGAAGTATGAACAGTTTAATCTTGTTTTTATTGTTTCAAAGTTTACAACTAAAATAATTTCTCTAGAAAATTCTGAAGATATATTATGCTATTCCATGATTTGCTACAGAGTTCAGTTAATATGTTTCATGTTATACTACTTTTCTAATCCCTTGGCCACATTTTAGAAATGTCACTAATTTTATTTTCAAGCCAATCAAAGGAACACTTCATCATAGGTTCTCCCAGGGGTGGAACCTGTTATCAGAATTTCTCCTGTGTCCTAATCTCTACTGAGTCTTGATTCTAAATGCAGTCTTTCCAAAGCCAGGGTTATTTTCCTCTCCTCTTCCCGGGGTATGTATAACACTTAACTGGAAAAGAAGTATTTCACATTTTGCCACTATGTGCTCCTCATTAGTTTAAGGTATAGAATGATATAAAAATTCTTTCAGTTTAAAGCTGCAACTACAACTACTTTCATTCTCGAAATCTGTAGGGCTGGGGTTGTTTATGGTAAGAGCAAGTGCCTAGCATGCACAATGTCCTGGGTTCAATCCCCAGCAACAGTAAATAAACATCACATATTAACCATCACTGTGTTGATGTTTGTAAGTTTTCTGATTTTAAGAATACTCATTCCAAGATTGTTTACCACATATATCTCAGTTGTTTTTCACTTTTTGGCAAATATTTTTATATTTCTCAACTATAATAGCCCTATTCCTTCATTCAGCATCTTCTATGTGTTAGGCACTGTTACAAAGTGCTGGGGAATCAATAATGAACAAAACAGACAAATGGGCTAGGAGTGTAACTCAGTGATAAGAGCGTTTGACTAGCATGTGCAAAGCCCTGGGTTTGAACCCCAGTATTGCAAAATGAAAAACAAAAACAGACAATCATCCTTATCTTCAAGAGGTTATACTACAGAGAGACAATTAATAGAGATAAACATGTAAAATAAATAGAATGTTAGGTGAAAGTAAGTGCCAGGAGAAAAAATAAAGCAGGAAAAGGAAAGAGCAAGAAGTACAGAAGGTACTTTGCAATTTTAGATATTTCACAAATTTCTTTTGACAACACCATAAGGACATATTTATTTTGATTTTCACTTCTTTAAAAAAAATTCGGATACCTAAACAGATGGCAGTATGGACCACAAGTTCCTCTTTACATTTGTGAATATCTATTTTAACAGGTACTGATTATCATCTTATAGACTAGAGGTATGGTGAAACACATGCGTGAGGCACTAGGTTCAGTCCCCAGCACCAAATAAAATAAATAAATAAAACAAAGATATTGTATCCACCTAGAACTAAAAAGAAATTTAAAAAATTACTGAAGTACTCTGATGACATTGAATTGCAGCCACATTGCTGCTTTGGTAATTTTCACAGGACTTAGATGTAATTTATCCATTTGGTAAGAGGATGTTTCAAAATAATTTGCTGAAACCATTGTGTGATATTTCCTTTCATTTGTTCAAAGGGAAATTGTATTTATATGCTATCTGTCTAATGCATATGGGGAAATCTGACCAWCACATTAATTTTAATGTCTTTTTAAAATTTACAATTGCATTCTGATAAGTTGACATATATTAAAAGAATATACATCCCTTCCAAAAGAATCCCAATATCATCCTATTCCCAAACTTCTTCAAATACATTTAAACCAGAATAATACACTTAAATGTAGTTATCAGAATCTTATCAAAATGTACATAACTGCTTTTGATTAAGACTATCAAAAACCTAAATAATGTTGTAAAATAAAACCTATGTTATGTAGTAATCTAAACCTCCTTTCTGGCTAATCTTTTAACTACAAAAGAAAAAAAAACAGACAATCATCTGTATCCTCAAAGGTTTTACTCTAGAGAGACAATTAATAGACATCAACATGTAAACATAAATAAACATAACATAGAAAATACCCTAATTTGTTTGTATTTTAACCTAGTCAACAATCCTTGGAAGATAAATAAGAACATGGGGAAAAGCACTGGTGAGAAGGAAGTTAAACTGAAGGGTGAGCATACAATACGAATGCCCTAACTAGGACAGCTCAAGCTTGCTGAGCAGTACTACCAATGAAACTGGCATTGATTCTTGCTAAAAGATTCACCTCAATGATCATACCCTGATAAACACTCGTAGCTCATTATAAAGCTTTGAAGGTCAAAATGTCATGTGATCATTTTTCACATCCAACATTAACTTTTTTAGTTTTGCTGACAGGCATACTTCCTAACCCAATAAATCACTGATAAAAAACGTTTTGGAAAAGAGAAAGACTAAAAACAGCAGAAAAAAGGCCAGTGATGGCAACAAAAAAGAAAGAGAGCAGATACTGCAAAGGAAATATTCAGTAGTAATAGCATTGTAAAAAGTATAAATAAAATTTATTTATTTATTTATTTATTTAGCAGTACTGAAATTAAACCCAGGGTTTTGGCATGTTATTATTGTAAGAGCTGTGCCATGGAGCACCATTCCAGTCTAATAAAATGCATTAAAATGTGTAATTCTTAGATTGTCTTGAATTTTTGTGGAGATAAAGACATTCTTATAGCTGGATGCAATGGTAGACTCCTATGATCACAGTGATTTGGGAGGTTGAGGAAAGAGGATCACAAGTTCGAGGCTAGCCTCAGCAATTTAGCAAGACCTCAGCAACTTAGTGTGACTTTGTCTCAAAAAATAAATAAATAAATAGGACTGGGGATGTAGCTTAGTGGTAAGGCAACCTCAGATTCAATCCCCAGTGCCAAAAGAAAAAAAAAATGTTTACAGTTATAGGTAAAATTAGGAGAGGTGTCCAGTCGTTATGATATCCTTAGAAGCAAAGATTCCCTTTTTTTTTTTTTTTTCCCCTATGCTGGAACTTCCTCTTCTTCAGGAACTAGACCTGAGAGAGAAGTGCACACTTTGTCGTTGGGTTTGTGCCATACACCTTTTAATCTGAGGAGACTTAAAATTCAGTTCTACCTAAAATCCAGAGAGTTACAGCATGGTCCAGTCCCAGGCAATTGCCTCTAAATTTTTTCAGTCCAGAGTGGAATGGATTTTTCCAGTTGCCTTTTAAAAAATTCTCACAAAGGCAAAAGTGTCCCTGAATACCACACATTATAGTCTGAAACTTCTATTGGTGTCACTATAATTGCCATCACATATGTCATCTGTTCTCAGTTCCCTTTTCTTTTTGTATATTTTTCTGTTTTCCTCTACCTGTGCTCTTGATCTGTGTAAGTTGTATTTGGCTCCTGGCACTCAGGGCTATAATTTGCTAACTCCAATTAATGACAATGGCAGTATAAATGTAAATATATACAGCTTATGGGTAGGTGTCAGGTACTTTGCCAAGTGTTTTACAAATATGATTTTATTTAATTCTCATAAAACTACGGCATATAGAAGTATTAACTTTATTTTACTAATACAGAAACAGGCCCTACAAGGCTAAATATGTCACCCAGCGTCAGACAACAAACAAACCTCATGCATAGACTTGAAACCTGAAGATCTGTCTTATCCCAGACTATAATGTTCTTTTACACTGTCATAAAGCTTGAGCCCTAAAATCTTACAGACCTGAATTCTAATCCTAATGCTATCACTTACCACTTGTGTGACTTGATAAATTATTCAATCCGTTTYCTGGAGTATGAAAAAGAATAACAATACCACTTAAGTTTGTGGTTGTGAGCATTAAATGAACTAACATAAATTTTTCCTAGAAAGTTGAAGGGCACTGCAATCAATAATAGCGATATTTAACCCCACTCTTCCCTCTATTTGATTATCCATTACAAAGGCAGTCACGAAAAGATGATAATAAGGAGAACCAAAAGTTGCAGATAATCACCAATTGCATCAAGTGTTGCATCAAGTGTTACATTAATGGTCAATTCGTTCGGTCAAGTTTCTGGCACTGCAAAATAAGTGCAACTGCACTTCCTCCACGCCCCTTGTACAGTGAACCCAAAGCAATGAAAGAATTTTGGAAGTGGAACAGGAACACTACGATCTGCTAAGATATTCCTTATGTTGTTCTTGCTTTATACTCTACTAAAATCAGTAGTCACCTTTTCCCACTTCACCTGGTAGCTTCTACTCAGTTACTCTGAAGCGATGTTTGACCACARGTGTAGTTTGGTGAACCCATCCCTCTTCCCTGGGGGCGGTGCGTTGGATTTCGCCGCATGTCACCCTAATCTGGGCTACAGGCCCGACTCTCCCTTCTCCTGGGAGGTTGGCGAATCCTAGGCATCCCCCGCCCAGGTGCTGGAGCTCCAGGCCCAGGCAGCGCCTCGCGGCCCAGAGCTCAACCTGGAGCCCAGGCTCCTCCGGGAGGCGCTGGCCAGCCCCGGGTCGCAAAACGCCGCCAAACTCGCCTGCAGTAGAACGGAAGCCCTCAGCGCACCCTGCGTTATCTCTGACCCCGGGAAGCCCAGGGTGAACTTCCAGAGAGAGGGCCGAGCGGGCCCAGCAGCGCGGAGCCTACGCGCCCAGATTCTCTGGTCCAAGTCCAGGTCTATCCTCCCCCGAAAAGCTGGTGGTTTGCGGGGGCCGGCCGTGCGGCCCCGAAGCAGCTAAAGGCCCGCACTCACATTCTGGGTCTTGGGGATGAAAGTCAGGCGACAGTGGAAACCAAGTTGTTAGCGTCCGGGGGGTGCAGAAGCGCCCGGGATTTACAGGAACCTGGGGCTGGTCTGGCGGCGGGGCGGGGCGGGGCGGAGCCGGGGTTGGGGTGCTCCGAGGGTGCCTACAGCACGCCGCGCCCACTCAAGACCACACGAGGCTCCACCCACCGGCTGGCCTTTTTACTCTGCAGATCTGTTAACTGCCTATAGGCTGAAGTTTCAAGGTTGCTTAGGGTGTCCCTTGTTTACCAAAAATCCAAAGTAGGCGTTAGGCCTTAAAATAAATTGCTGCACCAAAATAAACTCCTGAAGGGTAAAAGAATTACAGTATTTGAGAAAATGTATACCATATAAGAATCAAGAAAAACAACATGAAAATAGTGAAATTCTAGCTCTTAACCATACTTGGGAGTTTTTCAATGGGTGCAGTACCAGGATCATTTTACATCCTTAATTTCACTTAATTCTCGCATGTTTGTGAGGCATTTAGCACCATTATCCCCATACCATAAATAAGAAAGCTATGATGGAGTAACATGAGATTTCCTAGCTAACTGGTCTAGTTGCCAAAAGTCAGAGTCTACTAAGTGAACTAACCCCGCTAGTCGATGCTGCCACTCAACTGAACATTAACCACTGTGGAAGATTCTGCTACATTTGCTTAAGATTTTAGGGCCTCTGTGGAAGGAAACAGGGACAAAGTCAATAGGCAAACCCACTAGAAATATTATTTGCCACAAACCTGACAAACAAAGGTGTCTCAAGTTCACTTCAATTGACAAAGGGGTAGTGGGGAAACTCAATAGAAAAATGGGCAAAAGATAATTTTTTTAATTATAGAAGAAATGGAAAATGAAACAAATAAAGAAATACAGACATTCCTAAATAAAAACTTAACTCAATCCAAAAAATGTAAACTAAACATTTTTAAAATCATATAAGTGCCATTCATTTATTCAACAAACACGTTCTGGGTGCCTACTGTGTCAAATATTGTTCTAGACTTATGATAAATCTGTGAGCAAGAAAGGCTCTTCTATCCTAGATGAGGGACAAATAATAATCATTAAAAACAAAAGACATCTCAATACTAAGTGTTATGAATGAAAGTTATACAGGCTGTTGTGAAAGATGTAAGGATAATAATGGGAACTTACTTAGACTGGAGATCAGGGAAGCCCTCTCTAAGGTAGTGTTATTTGATTAGAGACTTGAAAAATAGAAAGGCTGGCATAGTGGCCTAGTCTGAAAGTTGAGGCGGGAGGATTGCCAAATTCAAGGTCAGAATGAGGAATTTAGTGAGATCTTGTCTCAAAATAAAAATTAATTAAKTAAAAGGGCTGAGGTATAGCTCAATGGTAGAATGCTTGCCTACCATGCACATGGCCTGGGATTATATCCCTAGTACAATGAGAAAAAGAGATAAGGGGAATTAAGGGAGGGAAGAGAAGGGAAGGGAAGGGAAGCCATGAGGGGAGAGGGGGGAGTATAGGGGAGGAAGGATGGAGGAAGAAAGAAAGAGAGGAAGAATGAAAGAGGGAGGGTGGAAAAGAAAGAGAAGAAGGAAGGAATGAGAATAGGAAAGAAAAGGAGAAATGGAGGGAAGAAGAAAAGAAGGAACCAATTATGCAAAGATCTGTGAATAGAAGAATATTAGGACAAAGACAGGAACAAACTTAGCAAATTTCAAGCATAGAAACAACTTCTTTGTGGCTAGAGTGGAGAGGTGGGAGGRGATAAGTGGGTTTGTTTGTTTGTTTGGTGGTGGTTGTAACTAAAGGTAGCTGGTTTTATTTTCTTATCCTGTTCCTCTGTTTAATTGAAGGTCCCCAGACACAAATTGGAAATTTCTATATTTCTCAGAATACATAGTATCCACACATAACCTTCCCAAATTTTGTCTTCACTAAAGCGGAGACAGAGTAGAGACAAGGAGATGGTATTGTACTTTTAGTATCCAAAAAAGGAATCTATCATTTGACCACACAGTGCCATAGTATTCAGTGTACTTATTCATTCTTTTCAGTGTCTAAATTCCTTTCCATATTTGTTCTCACTCATTAATTTGTCYTTACCTATTAATTCATGCATATTAAGCATACATTCTACCATTGAACTCTTGCAATTACCTCTGAGGTCCTACATTACTTGGCCCCCATCTCATCTCTGACCTCCTCTCCTTGCTCACTTTACTCCATCTATGCAGGATTTACTTTCATGGAAAATGAAAGGACAGACCTTTGCACTTTCCTTTTTTTCTACATGCAAAGCTCTTTCCCTAAATATCCTCATGGCTTAATTCTTCTTTGAGTTTTTATCCAAAGTTCTCCTTTGTGAGATCTTCTTTGGCGATCACCTTAATCCAAATTGCAACGCCTGGGCTGGGGGATGTAGCTCAATGGTACAGAATATGTGAGGCCCTGAGTTCAATCCCCAACACTGAGAAAAATAAAATAAAATAAAATAAAATTCCACTACTTACATGGGAATATACTTCTACTTTATTTTTATACCCCTTCTACTTTATTTTTCTCATTAGCATTTATTGCCATCTAACATATTACATCTTTTATTATTTATTTTATTTACTGACTGTGCTTCCTCAACTAGAATATATTCTCCATTAGGAATTATTCTGTTTGTTACATCTAAAAGACTAAGAAGGATATCACAGCTACACGGTGAATATTTGTTGAACAAATGGAGGAATTGTGACAGGAACTGTTAAGAACAACAACAAAAAAATCAGGCATGGTCATCAAGTTTACAGTGTAGTGAAAGTGCACATTACCTCCAAATTTACACTTCAGATGAATGAATATTCACAAAGATAAAAGTGAAATTATAAAATGTACTTAAGGCCATAAAGGAAATGAGAGTATATTAAGAGAAATCAAGAGAAGTTTCTCTGAGCAAGTGACATTTAAGCTGAGAGCTAAAGGACAAATACAAATTAGTTAAATATGGCATAGTTGGGGGAGGGAGAAGTTATCAGGTAGTGGAATGGGTAGGATTTCTGGCAGAAAGAATATCATGTAGGAGGCCTGTGGCCTGGATGAAAGAAAAGGGCAGGGATAGAAGGCTAAACAAACAAGAGCAAGATAGCAGATAGCATAGATTTTGTAAGCTAGGAAAACAGCAGCCAAAGACTTAAAGCAGGAAAACAAAATGCTTTATTGAAACTATTTGTTGTTTATTTTGTCAGTGCTGGGAATTGAAGCCAGGGTATTGTACATGCTAGGCAGAACTATACCACTGAGCTATACTTCCAGTTCTTCTGTTGTACCTTTTAATAAGATCCCATTTCAGGCTGGGAGGATGAGGATATTTAGGGACAGAGCTTTGCGTGTAGAGGAAAAGGAAAGTGCAAAGGTCTGTCCTTTCATTTTCTATGAAATAAAATCCTGCAGAGATGGAGTGAAGTGAGCAAGGAGAGGAATAGTAACAGTAAGGTCAGAGATGAGATGGAGACCAAGTAATGTAGGACCTCAGAGGCAATTGCAAAAGTTCAATGGTAGAGTGCACGCTTAGTATTCATGAGACCCTGAGTTCAATCCCCAGCACAAAAATAATGGGGGAAAATCCCATTTGCCAATAATAGGGCAAAATCACATCCAAAACTTCATTATGTGATGCCATGGAGAGGATATACCACTTAATGTTCCTACAAAAAGTGCACGACCTAAATTGAATCATGAGAATCATTAGGAAGTAATCAACCAAGCCCAGATTTAAACACATGCTAAATACCAATGATTCTCAATAATGGCAAATGGAGTAGGGTTGCCAGACAAAACATAGAATGCCCAGCTAAATCTAAATTTCAGATAGACCACAAATAATTTTTGAATATAAGTATGTCCTATGTTATACTAAAAATTATTTGTGAGGGCTGGGGATATAGCTTAGTGGTAAAGCTCTTGCCTAGCATATTTAATATCCTGGGTTTGATCTCCCATACTGCAAAAAAAAAAAAAAAGATCGTTGTTTATCTGAAATTAAAAATGTATACAATGTCTTGTATTTTTTTTTTAATCTGGTAACTCTACCCTCAGGAACATTTTGCTCTGTTGGGAGATAGTTTTCATTGTCAAACTGGGAGAAGATGCAACTGGTAGAAGATGGCTTGTTATTAAACACCTTACAGTGCACAGGAAAGCCTCCACAACAACAAAAATTATCCCCAAAATGTCAATATTGCCAAGGTTGAGCAATTCTGCTATGAAACAATGGGACTATACATTTTGAAAATACTTAAGTCGTGAAAATAAAGGCTGAGGAAATACTACACATTTAATGAAACTAAAAAAATTAAAATTAAATCAAATTCATAATCCAGGTTTGATCTCCAATTGAGGAAAAAGAGTTCATACAACATTGGGACACCAGTAAAACTTGTTTGTATAATAATAATATTCTGTCAATTTCAATTTCTTGAATTTGATAATTATACTGAGAATGTCTGTTTCTAAGAGAAAAGAATCATGATACATGCACTCTATACTCAAAAGGTTTAACAGATATAATAGGAACATAATATGCATATTACATGGAATATATCTCAAGAAAGAGCAAATGTGAGAAAATCAACAATGGCTGAATATAAGTGAAGAGTATATGTCAGTTCCTGCAACTTTCCTAAGGATTTAATTATTTTCTAAGTGAAAATTGTAATTAAAAATTTACTACCATGTGAGGATTCCGTCCTCAGCATCACACACTCACAAATCACTGCAGCAGAGATACCAGAAAATGAATTTCAGGTTTATCATGGAATCCAATAATGGAAACATGTTGTTTAACAATATTGCGGTTGTCATTGGTAGAAAATCTAAAATACAATAAAACTCGTTCCCCTCTGGTAAAAAGACTAGATTTCARAAGTTGGGAAGATGTACATATTTTTAAAAATATACTTCAGAAGCAAAGAAAATAGAGATATCACTGATGAAATCCTCAATACCCACGAAGCAGTGAAGGCAGCAATCATACACTGGGAAGAGCACTGAAGGGTTGGCAGAGTGCCAGCCTAGTAGTATGTGCACCTTGATCTGGATCCTCCCGCATCAAAAAAAAAAAAAAAAAAAAAGGAAAAGTGTATTCTTGATTTGGTTAACAAAATTTTTAAGCCATATTTTTTTCTCATTTGGCAACCTGGGATGCCCATTATTTCACAATTGGGAAGATCAAAGGAAATGTGTCTTAATTTACTGTGTAGTATGAAAAGTACCATATAAATACAAGCTACTTTTTTAAAACTATGACTACCTTCTCTTATTGACGATTTTCTCAAGTACTCCATACAGTAAGTACTCCATTTGCAGCCTGTGTTTTTCACCCACAAGGACCTTGAAGTTGGGCTCAAAATTTACTTATTCCCTTTGTAAGAATTCTACTCTGGTAAGAAACACTGACCTAGTGAAGATTTTGAGGAGAGACCAGGTTTTATGCTACATATCCCATACCATACAGCAGTGCTGATTTTATTTTTTGACGAYACTGGGGACAGAATCGGGGAGTCTSTCCCCCATTCTAGGTAAGCGCTCTCGCACTGAACTTCCCCAGTCCAGCACCAGCATCTTGTTTAGAGTCCTCTTCTTCATAGTCTAACACCAGCTAATGCTTTACGGGTTTCATTTCTTTTCTTTGGCTTCTCACTTCCCCTCTTGAGTCTTTCCCTCCAGTTTCTCATTCTTTTCCTTTCACTTTCTTATGTGGTCGGATTAATTCCACGTATTTATTTCCAAAAAGAACCTCTTAATGCCAGGCGTCACCGACTTTTGGTTTGTTGTTGTTTTTTGTTTTTTTTTTTTTCTTCCACACACCTATTCTCGGGTCTATTTCAAAGCCTTTAGTTCTGTTCTGGTGATCTATCCTTTTACCAAAACCAAGAAAGAGTGCGGAGCCGAAAGCACTCAGGAGCCAGCGTAGGGTTCGSTCACTAGCTCGCCCCACGGCTCGCGCTCGCGCGCTGTCACTCAYTGCCCAAGCCCGCTGGGCACAGGCGCAGCAGACCGACGAAGTCCCACCCACTCGGGATCTCTCCCGCCCCCGGAAGTGGTGGATCGGAAGTGGTGAGAACTGAGAGGCACTGGCCAGGAAGCGGGGATCGGGGTGGCATTTCTCTGTGCGAAGACTGAGGTGTTMTTTGCTGCGTCGTAGGCGGGTCCGTGGCGGCCTGACATCAAGGGCTAGGCCGGGGACGTGTAGGTCATGGCGCTGGCCTCGCGAGTGTGGCGCTTTCTCCCTTTGGCACGTGGAGCTGTTCCGGGTACTCGGTTTCCGACGAGGACTTGGGGCAGCCGTGAGCAGTGCTGCCCCGGGCGATTCCGCGGCCCTGAGGTAACCTCGCCGCCCTGGCTCCCTCTCCCTCCCTACCGAGTGGGTTGGGACTCTCGCCAGCTCTTGGCAGGGAGGCTCCGTGCCGTCTGTGGGAAAGAGAACCGTGGAGGAAACTCAGGGGCAAGTGTGCCTGGACCGCGCCCCTTGACCGCGATGGACAGGTCTTTGCCCTTCCGCAAGCCTCCTCTCCTTAGAAAACTGGGCTTAGGTCAGAGAAGTAGTGGGTATGTCTCACGGAGAAGCTGCCTGCTGGCTGACCTTCCCGTGTGAAAACCTGGAGAACAGGACGGAGAAGGAACTTTGGCCGCTGTGAAATAATTTTCACTTTTAGCAATTCCAGCTGTTAGCCGAGTCTGCTAGATAGACTTTTAAACTACTGTGGTGTGACAGAAAGCTTCCTACACAGAAATACACACACACACACACACACACACACACACACACACACACCACACGCAATTTGGGTTTGGGGCTTTATTTTAAGAAATTATTTCTGAGTTGTTTTTTTAATATGCATAATGTTAAGAAAGGATGTCGGGATATTGTAGTCGCAGTTCTGTCATTTCTATTAGACTGCTTGTGGGACTCAGTTAATTTTTTATTTTTTGGTACCTGGGGATTGAACCCAGGGGCGTTTAGTCACTGAGCCACATTCGCAGCCCTTTTTAATATTTTATTTAGAAGACAGGGTCTCATTAAATTGCKTAGGGCCTAACTAAGTTGCTGAGACTGATTTTGAACTTGCGCTTCTCCTTCCTGGGCTTTCTGAGCCTTTGGGATTACAGGCAGGCACCATCTCATCAGGCTCTCAGTTTAATCTTGAAAGTAAGTTGGGCAGTGGGTATGACATTCTTGTGGTGCCTATGAGCTATTTCACTTGGATTAAGTGTTTCATTATTTTAAACTGTAATACATTTTTAGCAGATTGCTTAGAACAACAAGGTTTATTATCCCTGGATTCTATTGGTTGGGTATTCAGGTGCAGCTTAGCTACCTACCTCAAGCAGAAGAAGGTCTCTCCTGAGGTTGAGTCACACTTGTCAGCTGCTGAGGTCTGGGGTAAAGAGGAAGTTCTGCTTCCAAGTTCAATGTGATTGCATGGCTGTAGGCACACTTTCTCTTCTGCCTGCTGCTGCCAGCATTTCAAAGTCACTGGCTTACCCCCTGGGCAGGCAAGTGATCAAAGAGAACAAATGAGAGCATGTGTAAATGATTTTTTAAAATAATAACAATCTTGGATATGATATTAGCTCTGTTGTATTCTATTTCTTGGAAAGGAGGCAATAAACTCAGCATACATACAAGAGTGTGACTATGAGAAGGCAGGATTATTGGGGAGATTTTAGAGGCTGCCTACCACAACCAGATTCTAAAAACCTTATAAACCATGGTAAGTATTTCTGATTCTAGTCTTAACTGTTAAGTGTTTTACTTCTTTTTTTTTTTTTTTTTGGTATTGGGAATTTAATAGGAGTGCTTTACCATTAGATACATTCCCTGCCCTCCCCTTTTTATTTTTTGAGACAAGATCTCACTAAGTTTCTGAAAGCCTTGCTAAATTGTTGACTCTGGTCTTGAACTTGCCATTCTCCTGTCTCAGTCTCCAAGTAGCTGGGATTATAGGCATGTGCCACTGGGTCCAGATTGTTAAACATTTTGAATGAGGAAGTCATTTGATCATACTTGATTAAAAAATTAGTCTGTCTTGGGCTACAGTGAATGCTGGAGACCAAATAAAAGATCATTGCTGTAGGACAGGTAAATGTGGTAGTTTGAACTTTAGTGGAAATTGAAATAAGTGGATTCATTCAAAGAATATCAAGAATGTAGAATTATTGGACCTAAAAGATAGGTGCAGTGTGGGGGTTGAAAGGAAAGTCAATGAAGAATCAATGGTTTCTGGTAGTGTTATTTATTGGGGTAGGACCACAGAAAGACTTGAGGGGTAAGGGGGAAATAAGTTGGGTTTTAGACTAATTAAGATGAATGTGGTAATATAAACAGATTTACATTGATGGGTGGAAGTTTGTTAGGTCTGCTGATTGCCTTCTGAGGTCTGGGCTACAAATACAGATTCTGGAGCATCTACCCTATAATTGTAAATTATGCCATAGTAGAGATTGAGAGTATTTAATAGACCAAAAGAAGGTCTAATACTAGTCAGAGAAATTCTAATATTAAAGAGGAGAAGAAACTGGCAAGAATTTAAGAGAAAAAGCAGGAGATAGTGGTGACACGTTTCTTTTCATCTACTGATGGGTTTAATTTTGTTTTTTGTGGTACTGGGTATTGAATCCAGGGGTACTCTACTACTGAGCTACACTCCCTGTCCATTTTTTAAAATGTTTGAGTCTAGGTCTTACTAAGTTGCTGAGGCTGATTTCAAACTTTTTGATTCTCCTGCCTCAGCCTCCCCAGTTGCTAGGATCACAGCCTTGCAACACCAGACCTGACTTGAGCTTATATTTTTAATTCTGCCTGGAACAAAGTTGTTATACTCAGTGTTGAAAAAAAAGACTGTCTGAGAGAGCCTACTTCTTTTGTTCAGCAAATACTTTTTGAATATTTTGAAATTTTTTGAAAATAATGCACTGCAACTTCAAAGTACATAGTGAAATAATGTGTTCCAACTGTCTCAGATATTTTTATAAGTTATCAGTATCTTGGAGGTGTCACTGAGGTGTGGGTCTTTCTTTTTTTTCTTAAAGTTCAGAAATATGATTTTCATTTACTTTCCCATAGATGAGCAAAGAGCTGCTTTATATTAATCAAACTAACAAGAGCTCAGCTGAATAACTGGCACTTCATAAATTTATAATAAGAAATATAAATAGCCACCCAACAGAGTTGCATTTTCTCCCTTCTATGAAAGCCAGGGTATTCTTTGTTGTGCCTTGTTTCAGCACAGAAAGTTGACACTCTAAATGTCAAATTTCCTTAGGCTATAGTGGACTACACATGCATTCTACTATGTGATATACTCTATCCCTAAAAGCAATAGGAAACTAAGACACTTAATACTAAACCCATCCTTCCTTCCTTCCTTCCTTCCTTCCTTCCTYCCTTCCTTCCTTCCTTCCTTCCTCCTTTCCTTCCTCCCTCCCTCCCTCCCTCCCAGGGATTGAACTCAAGGGCTCTCAATCCAGACACATCCCCAGCCCTATTTTGTATTTAGAGACAGGATCTCACTGAGTTGCTTAGCGCCTCACTTTTGCTGAGGCTAGCTTTGAACTTGTTATCCTAGTACCTCAGCCTCCTGAGCTGCTGGAATTATAGGCTTGCACCACTGGCCTGGCCTGATAAACTAGTCTTTTCGTCTTTTTTTCCAGGCAACACCTCTACACATGTATATACCTTTTGCCCCTACTCCATCTCTTTTTGATAATTAAGCATGAACTCAAAAAATTAAATGCTGAAGATGTGACCATGACAAATTTAGTTTTACTACTTTACAGTGGATTTTTTTTTTTAAATCCAGTTGTGTGCAATGCCTTGAATATTCATGCTGGACCAAGGAAACAGCATTTGGCAAATTGGAATATGGTGGATTCCCCATTCCTACTCTAGATGCTTATCAGAAGTGCAAATGTGGATCAGATGTGGGTTGGAGGAGTCCAGAATGACTTCAGGGTTTTTCGTTGATTTTTCTTTTTTAAACTGAACAAATAGAAGAGAGTTGCCATTTACCATGATAGAGAAAAATAAGAGGAGTGAATTTGGTAGAAAGAACAGTTGTTTTGAGATGCCTAATAGAGTTTTTCAGAGACAATTTTTGAATAGGCAGTAGATAAATGATTCTGAAATTAGGGGTGACATTTAGCTAGAGATAAGAGTGTTTTGGGCTTATTAATGATATGAGACAAAGTTAGATCATGAATAGAGAAAAGAAGAAGACTCAGCTCAGGACATGAGCAAGGTGATATTGGAGATGAACTAACAAAAGAGAAGTCATTAAGACATAAGGAAATCCAAGAGAGTAGTATTTCAGAAGCAGATTGTTTCAAGGTAGCAATGAAGTGCTGGGAAGGGCATTGTGAAGAGAAAATTTGTAGCATTGTTTATTATCTTGATTGTGGTGATGATAATGGTTTTCCAGGTTTTTATATTATATATAGATATAGATATATACACACATATATGTCTTAAATTGTACATTTTATGTAGTTATTGTATGTAAATCATGTCTTAATAAAGCTGTTTTTAAAAATTAAACATACATTCATGATTTTTTTTTTAGAGGAAGTGATCAGCAGTCAAATGCTGTTAAATAGATCAAGTAAGGTGACAATTCAGAATTGACCACAGAAAATACAGGATGAATATCCTGAGTCTGATCCTAAATACTTCAAAATCTGAAACTTTTTTAGTGCTGTAAGTGGAAAATTTTATATTTGCTTTCATGTGATGGGTCACAGTCAAAACATAGACACTAAAAGTATTGAAATTGCCTTCAGGCTGTGCGATAAGGTGAATATGAAACATAAATCATCCACAAGATAATCTTATAAGGTTGATGCAAATATTCCAAAATCTGAAAAAAAAAAAAAATCCAACATCTGAAACCCTTCTGATCCCAAGCATTTTGAATAAGGGATATTCAATATGTAGCAGCACCTTTGGCATCATTTACTAGAATACCATCAGTGGAGTTGTGGGGATTCTTTTTTATTTTTATTTTTTTTGGTACTGGAGATTGAACCTAGGAATTGAACTCAGGGGTCCTTTACCACTGAACTACATCCACAGCCCTTTATATTTTTTGAGATAGGGTCTTACTAAGTTACTTAGGGCTGCCCAAGTTGCCAAAACTGGTTTTGAACTCATAATCGTCATGCCTCCGCTTCCCAAATTGTGAAATTACAGGCTTGCAATACTGTGCCTGGTTTATTTGTGAGAGTTAAAGAGAGAATGGGAAGGGAGTATAGGAAGTGAAGGGGAAAGGGTTTTTTTGTTGTTGTTTTGTGATTTTTGTTTTGTTTTTTATACAAGTAAGAAACTAACTTTTTATACTGATGGGAATAAATTTAAAGGGAAAAATTCAGGAAAAGGAAGAAATTGCTGGAATGATATTCATTCCTCTTTGTCATTGGTCTCAAGAATATGGTTATAATAGCGGGCATGGTGGGGCATACGTATAATTCTAGCTACTCAATAGGCTGAGGTAGAAGGATTGCAAGTGTGAGACCAATCCAGGGAACTCATTGAGATCCTGCCTTGAAAAAGTGGAAAGGACTGAGGATATAGCTCAATGGTAAGTTGCCCCTGGGTTCAGTCTCCAGTACTGGGTGGAAAAAGAAAAAGGAAAAAAATCTGGCCATGATTATGAAAATTAATTTCTAAATCTGTTTGAATATAATTTTGTTTTATTCACCATGTATTTAAAACCTCTGGGTTTCATGGGTGATTTCAAACATGTTTTCACTTAAAGCTGTGTACGTTTTTTATGTGTTGCAGTTACTATATTTGATACTCTTCATCTTGTTTACTAACAAAAGTCGATATTTGTCATGTGTTGATGTCTCATATTTTGTTTCATACAATTTGTAATATCTAGGCCTCCACGTAAAAATTTGGGTCTTTAAATCCAGCATTTACCATCACAACTGTGAGTTTTAATAATTTGTTTATTTTTGCAGTGTTGAGGAGCTAACCCAGGGCCTTGAATATGGAGTCAAGTGCTTTACCACTGAGCTATATCCTTAGCCCATGACTTGAGTTTTAGATGAGTTACCACTTCTAGATAGTCTTTTTCTTAATAAAATACACTATCCCTGTAAGGTTTAAAATAGATTTCCTGGAGAATTTGAAGAATTCATTTTTGAGCATCCCATATTTTTATGATTAATTGCTTTGGAGATGAGAGAAAATTGATGTAAAATTTTGCTTGGGGTAGCAGTTTTTCCAAATTTTCTAAGTTGGATAACTCTGCCATATTGTTTTTCCATAGGTGATAGGTAACGCAGGAACTTTGAAAAGAGGCCTTTTATTCTCAGCCTTGTCTTATTTGGGTTGTGAAACTTATCAAGTCATTTCACAGGCTGCTGTTGTTCATGCCACAGCCAAAGGTAAGCATAAACTAAATATCTGGGAGACTTAGAGTTATTTTTGTTTGATATTTTGTTATTAACAGTTTTTTTTTAATAGATAATGAAACTAATATTGTTATAGTCCAGGTTATTTTTTGCTCTTATTCTGTACATGTATTAATTTTTTTTTAACAAACTAAAATTTCTTTAGTAACAAATACTTTGTTAATACTTAATATTTTTGTAATTGGTTGAAAAGTGAAAAAAATATTATAAGTCTTATTTGGTATAATATAGACTGGCTAATTTTTAAAACAAATTTAGTTAAATCAGTTTTCTGAGGGAAAAGAGCTAAAATTTTGGTATATAGAGAAATATGATTTTAATTTTTTGGACTAATACTTTTTGGTTTGTAGTCCTCATTTTTTAAAAAATATTTATTTATTTATTTTTTTGGTGGACACAACATCTTTSTTTGTATGTGGTGCTGAGGATCGAACCCGGGCCGCACGCATGCCAGGCGAGCGCGCTACTGCTTGAGCCACATCCTCAGCCCCTATAGTCCTCATTTTTAAATCATAAAAGGTGACTGGGAAAAGAAACATTTGATTTGAGGTAGTTTTTTTGATGGGGAGTTGTACAAGGTATTGAACCCAGGGGCACTGTATCCCTGAGTTGGATTCCTAGCCCTTCTCTGTTTTTTTAGTTTTGAGACAGGATCTTGCTAAGTTGCCTATGCTGACCTCGAAGTTTGGAGCCTTCTACCTCAGCTTCCCTGAGTTGCTGGGACTATAGGCACATGCCCATTATTCCTGGCTGATGAATATCTTTTAAAGTTCTAATAGAATAATAATTTGAAACTGCTATCAAAAATGATTAATTGCCTAGTCATTTATCCATGACTGTTTGTTTTTATTTGCTACTGGAAATTGAACCTAGGAGCATTTTACCAGTCCCTTCTTTTTAAAAATATATGTTTTAAGATAGGGTGTCCTTAAATTTCTCAGGGTCTTGCAGAGTTGATGAGGGTGGCCTTGAACTTGGGATCCTCCTGCCAGAGTCTCTGGGATTACAGGAATGTGCCACTGCACCTGGCTACTATTTTGTCTTAAAACAGATAACTGAGAACTGCTATGCTTTCTTTTTATTATTACTTTTTTAATGTATCATTTTATAAAGAAAGGCAGAGGATTTGTATTTGTCACTGGCTCATTGACAATATTTGATAAATACAAAAAGCGTCTGTTTAAAGCTCCCTAGACTTTTCACAGTAACTTTAATTTTATAATTATTTTTTAAGAGTCAAAGTGGCAGAGATTAGAACCCATATTTTTATTTTTCTGTCTTAGTTTCATTATGTTTTAGTATTGTTGCAGAACTGATTTAGTGCTTCCCTAGGCAATAAAGTATGACACTTTGAAAGGCAAAGCCAAAATTGTTTTTAGCCTTAGTGATCACAGAACACTTTTTTCAGAARTGTCTTTATGACATAAAAAAATCACTGAATATATGTTCATACAAAAACATTTTAAGATGATTTGCCTTCTTGAGTCATGTACTAGCTGGGTGCAGCTGCAATAGCAAAATTGAGGAGACATCAAACAGTCAGTGGTTCTTTTCACACCTCAGCAAGTTTTTAAGCTACTTCTTTTTTTTAATATTTATTTCTTAGTTTTTTTAGGTGGACACAATAATATCTTTACATTTATGTGATGCTGAGAATCTAACCCAGTGCCCCATGCATGCTAGGCGAGCGTGCTACCACTTGAGCCACATCCCCAGCCCCTTTAAGCTACTTCTTGCCATTTTCTTCCTCCATCTTTTGAGAGAGCAACCTTGAGCTGGACTGTGGGAGTCCTGCAGACCAACCAGAGAATTGATGCTATAGGAGCAAATTTATCTTACCAGTGGATGGCTGAGTGTTCCCATGAGGCAGCATGCTTCCCACTCAAGGGCAGCTGACCATTYACCCCTGTTTCCAAGATGGGGACTGTTGAGAGCAAACTTATTAAAAATTTCACTTCAGAGGAATTCATTAATCACAGTAAAATAGTAAAGATCTCTATAAGTGAATTGGAATGGTTGGCCTGCCTGTGCGATAGGCATCTTATTAAAAGGCTTGAGTAACGAACTTGCCTCCCTAGGTGTTAATGAAGGCAAATTTAAGGGTTTGACAGTAGATCTTCAGCATGGTATTTCTTTCTTTCTTTCTTTTTGGTACTGGGGGTTAAACCGAAAGTCACTTTACCACTTAGCTACGTCCCCAGCACTTTTTATTTTTTATTTTGACACAGGGCCTCACTAAGTTACTTATATTCTTACTAACTTACTGAGGCTGGCTTTGAACTTGTGTTTCTCCTACCTCAGTCTCCTGAGTCGCTAGGATTACAGGCATATAGCACCACACCCAGCAGCATGGTGTTTCTTTCAGTGCCAAATATAGTTTGCAGCAAAAGATTACTTCATCATTGCAAACTCCAGCCTACTGATTATCACAGCATGTGAATGTCCAGGAAAAAGGAGAAACATGCCTTAATGTAGTCCACTGAAATGTGTCCATCTTTAAATTCATGATTTTCAGTGTTACCCAATATAATTGCCACTGCAAACTAAATAGTAGTTTTCAATTTAGTAGATATCTTATGTATTTTGGAAGTTGAGTGCATTTGAATAAACTTGGATTCCTAAACATTGGAAAAGGAAAGGGGGTAGACTGACTGCCCTATTTATTTAGCCCTCTAGGTCTTTTACCTAGCATTCAGATTGCATGGTACTTATTTTTACAATTCCTAAGTTGATGTTATTGAAAGTGGCTGTAATCTGAACACAGCCCATTTCCATTTTTTTCTTGTACCAAGGTTTRATACCCACAGTGAAAGCTGTCCTGGATGGCTCCTTGAAGAGCATGGGGACTCAGGTGTTCTTGTGTGGAGTGAAATTTACATTTCTAGTGTCTTTTTTTTTAAACCAGGTATTGAACTCAAGCTCCCAGGCTTTTTAAAATTTTTTGTTGTTGTTGTTTTGAGACAGGGTCTTGCTAAGTTGCTTATTAGGGCCTTGCCAAGTTTCTGAGGCTGGTTTTGACTTTACTATCCTCCTGCTTCAGCCTCCTGAACCACTCTAATTACAGCAGGTGTCATCACACCCGGCTAGTGTCCTGAAGAGTCTGAACTCAGATATAGGCAAAGATAATGATCTTGAACAGTGGGAAAAATTCACAAAAAATGATTACCTGTGGATATAAGACAGGGCCATTGGCCTATCTATAGCTGATTTATTTTGGAAAATATTTTGAATATTCTAAGAGAGTAGATCTTTTTCTACCATAAGTAAGGTTCTCCATGAAATAAATGAAGTATTCCTTGTATACTGGAAGAAAATGAAATGGTAGACCTTATAAAGCTTCACATTTGAAAAAGTGCRGAAAAACTATGAGAAATTCAGAAGAAACTCAAGCTTTTAAAGTTGCTTAATGTTACCATTCTGAAGTATTTGAGGAAGAGCTAGTAGTTATAGAATTGTATATTTGAATAAACTTGGATTCCTAAACATTGGAAAAGTAAAGGGGGTAGACTGATTGCCCTGTTTATTTAGCCCTCTAGCTCTTTTTCCTAGCATTCAGATTGTGTGGTATTTATTTTTACAGTTCCTAAGTAACTGCATCAAAGAAAGGGTTTTAAGGAATCTCTGTTGTATTAGTATTTTGTGGTTGCCATTTGGTCCAAAAAACATATGAATCTGTTTATTGTGTTATAAAATTCCACCTATCATGCTCATTGTTTTTGTTCTGAATTGTTTATTCCTATGTTCATTTATATGCTATAAAAAAGTTGTAACTTCCTTTCAGTATAAAAATATAAGGATGTAAACAGAAAAATAACTCTAAATGTTAATACTATTCCTAACATTAAACCTTGGCAGGAAAATGTTTTCACATTCTGAGGGTTGACTTACTCTGAAAACTAAGTTCACTGTTTTTATTTAAATTTGAATGAAAACTGGCCTATATTTTAGAATCCCTTCTGTATTTTGAAAGCATATTTGGAACACTGAAAAGTTAATACAAAAAAAGAGTAAAATTATTTAGCTTACTTTGGTTTTATTTAGCTTTATTTTCTTTTTCTTTTTTATTTTTGGCTGAACACTGCCTATTTTAACTTCAAAAAAATTTTAATTAACATGTAATAATTGTATATGTGGTACAATGTGATATTTTGATATATGAATATAATTCAAAGTGATTAAATCAAGATACTTAACATTTCATCACTGTATTTTTGTGATAAGACAAAAATTTACTCTCCTAGGAATTGTGAAATATATAACACATTAATAACTGTAGTCACCATGCTGTGCAGTAGATCTCAAAAACTATTCTTCCTAACTGAAATTTTATACCCTTAGACCAACTTCTCTCTATTCCCTCTGCCACCTCACCCCATCCCAGTGGTCATCCATGGTAACCACTATTCTACTATCTACTTCCAAGTTTGACTCTTTCAGATTCTGCATGTTAATAACATCATACAGTATTTATATTTTTGTGCTTGGCTTATTTCACCTCTAGATTTATCCATATTGTCACAAGTGACAGTTTCCTTCTCTTCTTAAGGCTGAATAATATTCTATTGGGTATATCTGCCCTACTTTTTAAAAATTCATCATATGATGGATATTTAGGTTGCTTCTATATTTTATCTATTGTGAATAATGCTGCAATGAACATAGAACTGCACATATCTCTTCAAAATACTGGTATCAATTCTTCTGGATATACAGGTTGATTATCCTTTATCCAAAAGGCTTGAGATGCAGAAATGTTTGAAATTTTGGAGTTTTTCATAGACTTCGATCCTCTATAACCCCAAAATGCAAAACGTGAAATGCTCCAAAATCTCAAACTTTTTATTAATATAAGGTCAGCACTTAAAAACTTTTTTGAGTTTTCTCAGGATTTTGAATTTTCTGATTAGAGATGTTCCACCTAATTAGAAGTGTAATTGCTAGATCATATGGTAGTTCTATTTTTAGTTTTTGAG